AATCCCGTTTTGTTTTCTCTTTTCTTTAATAAGACCTGGTTGAACCTTCCCAGCACCTGGCCTTCTTTTTCGCTCGTAGAAAAAATTGAAAGTGTGCAATATCAGTTTTGAATGCAAGCTCTAGCTCAAGCTCACAGACGGTGCTAATAGACAACCAAAAGAGTATATAATTAGGCAGAATGATTGAAGTGTTAGAAAACCATTACAATATCTCAGACTTGTGTTTGACCTCCAGAGACCATGCTAAGTTATTTTTTTAGGAGCTGCAATCAGCTTTCCAGTGTGTCAAAATATTACAAGAGTAAACAATTACACGAGGCTGGACCACCCCACCAAAGGGAAGTTTTTAGTTAAGACGAAACAATAACACTCTGAGTTAAGTTATCCCAGCTTTTCATTTTAATTATAATCCTTTGCCCGATAAGTCGCTTGAATGAATCACACCTGTTCTCGCTCTCTTCAGCTCTTTTTTATAATCCCTGTGAAAATGAAGGAACAATTTCGAAAAACTAACGAATTATGGTTTTCATGTTTACAAACGGCGTGCTAATTAAAAATTCACCAAGAACGCAAATTAATATTTCAGTGTTGTGCAAAATTTGCGCTGTCCAAAGGAAATTTGAAGTGCACGAATTAGAAAAAAACCTCAATCGTTATCAATGCTATAGGAAATCGTTCAAGGACACCAGTTTGTAACAGTCGATCGATTGAATAAAAAGAAGCGGTATGAATCCTTTTTTTCTCCTGATATAAATTCTCCCTTTGAAGTCTTGAGCCTTTTGTTCGAAGTTTCTTGAATTATTTTAGCGGTTATGTGCATACAGGTTTGAAAGTTAAACTGTAGTGGAAAATGTTTCACACACTTTATGAAACTGCTTGCTTAAATCTCGAATAAATCTTATAGTCAGGCTGGAGTTTATTAATTGCAGAAACGATTTCTTGCGGGAAAAAGCTCCAATTTGGATAATTAATTTATGCAACACCTTTCAAGAGACCCTAGGGTATTTTTAGCTCTTTTCTTAATACTTGTCATCATTACATATATTCTAACATGTTTCCAGAAGAGACCATGAGTTGTTCATGTGCACTAGGTTGCGATCATCCATCTTTGCATCTCGCTGTTTTGAAATCAGTTTCATCGATTAAAACCACTTTAGAAAGTGTTCTACGCGATCAGAGTCGGCGGAATATTTTCCTTTCAGTTGTCACGGACTAGATATCACCGACAGCTATAAATTAAACAATAATAATTACGTAAGGAGCCTTTTCGGTCGACAATTAGCTACACTGTTATGTAATGGTGATAAACTCCTTAGATCAGCTCTACTCGGTCTTTTCAAGGCTGCATTATTCTAGATCTATCCGTATTCTTATTTACAAAATGGCATTTTTCTAGGGTAACTAAAGCCTCAGGGCTTACAAACCATCAAAAGCCCCGAATTTTGCTCATCAAAACGCACTGTCGGTTTCAACACACCACAGAGTGAAGAAAAAATATTTATAAAAAAATCAAGCAAAAAAATTTAATGTCAATGCCAAAGGAACTGATCAAATTTAGACCTTGCGAAGTTTCACGCTCTTAGCTATTCATATATCTGTTAACCCATACTGTTTCAGTTTTCAACAAGCTGGATGGCGACGTTGCTAAGGAAAGTTTTCGGTTTAAGAAACATGTTTGAAAAGTGAAAGGTGAAAACATTAGCCAAATCTTCGTGAATCTTGCTCATTATTTTGGACGAAATAAACATGTCAGTATTTTAATTTTAATTTTTGCATGCTGACTCATAAATTAGAGAGTGAACCTTCTGGAATAAACTGTGTTTCTAAGTTTACTTAACCTGCCGTTTGGAATTTTTTATTGAATTTTGCCATCAGATCATTAATCTTACAGATGGGGTAAGTTCTAAAATTCAAAACTTTAGCATTTTCCATTTAGAATCTTAAACGTGGATAAAACTCAAGCAAATGTGTTCAACTTTAAAATTAGCATTTGGAAGTGAGAACAATAGAAATAAGCTCAGCAATTTACAATACATTGACACGAATTTTCTGCAAGACTCTAGTGAGAGATAAAAAAAATGTTTTGATGCCAGAAAAAAATAGCTTTCTAATACTGCAAACTTAGAGCAAGTTCTTTGCAGATTAGAATCTAGACACGGAAATGTCCCTATTCTTATCTTCCGTTCATAAATATATCTTAAAGTCATTGTAAAACTGAAATAAACGAAAATTCTTTAAAGTTCCCCATCAGCATGTTTTTGCATTATTTTCGAGAGCATACAGGTCTCTGATCACCATCAATCGGTTATTTTCCATTGTCCTTCGCAAGACTTAAAGATACGTTCGCGGCAGCTGCCTTGATAAACAATGTCAAATTTTAGTTCAACTGAGAACAGCGAGAAAAAGATCTCCTTGGGACATCAAAGAAACCTAATGCATTGAGTCGCGGATCTGAGCTGTACCTGGAATACACCGTTTGATCGCTCCACGGAATAGTCATGTCCAAGGTTGTAATGTTGTTTTGGGGAATATGCGAGCCGTAAACATTGTAATAAGCTTGTTCGTATTGTCTTTTGAACATTGCTGCATCTTCACCTCCTCGTGCATATTCACTCAAGACAGCAGGAGTTAACACAATGGAGCTTCGTCTTTGTCGGAAAGGTTCTGAGTAGCTTCTCGGTCGATTACAGTGAAGCGAAGACGAATTCATTTCCGAACAACTGCAGACCATTTCCTTACGGTGATCTTTGTTTTCGAGAACTTCGTTCGGGCAGATATAAGATAATCTCTTTATACGACGTCGTTAAGTCCTTGTAGCGATGAATGTGTTTCTGTGTCGTTCAAAAGTGAAATTTCTGTCTTATTTTGAACGCACGGCACCTTCAGTTGGTACTCTAAAGTCCCGTGTTTATTCCGTGCTGCAGTGAAAATAGCCTCTCTAGGGAACTTGCCACCTCGCTGGCTTTGTGTCCCGTTGCTTGTGTTTCAAAGCTAAATATAGCCACCGTATTCAAATAAGCTAGACGCGACTTTCGGAATATTGTTTGCTTTCGTGAAAAGGTCAGGTAAAAATAGAACAGCTCCGCCTCCAAAGTAAATTCAAAACTATCGCTCCTGTTGATTGATAAACCGCAACGTCCTCCCAAGCTTCAAGATAAAGACTTTCGCTGTCTGATGAGGGCCAATTAAAACTTTGTGGCTTTTCTTGGAACCTATAACATCGAGCTGAAGTTTATCAATTCGCTTGGCAGCATTACTTAAGCCAAGCTCCTTTCATTATTGATTTTATCCGACCGGTGAGAAGAAACGAATAAATTAAACGCGTGAAATCTATTTTTAGCCCCTTACAATCCTAAGTTCAAAGAAGCTCTCCGTTGTCGGGGTGATATGAAATTGATGCTAACAAATTGTAACACCTACATTATAATTATATACCTTGCGTAATCCTGGATAAGCTTTTAAAATAAAAGCTACATTCTGTTATTGCTAAGAAGAAAGAGTAATATCGCATGCTAAAAATACTTTTGATGTTTTTCAATTTCGGCGTCTGTCAAACAATGGATCTGTGAATTGACAGGGCAGCTGTCTTCAGACAAAATCAGCTGGTTATTGCGGTGAGTTCCAAGCCAATATTGACAGAAAATTGTAAATCGTAAGCCATCATAAGCCTGGACGGTGTTCAGACCTCTTGTTTTTCCTTAAATTAAAAATCGGCCAAATTTTAACTTCCGTTACCGAAGTTACACATGTTTTGTTTCGTGTGTTATGTACAGGTTCTTCTTCCTTTCCTTTAGTGAAGGAGAGTGAACACTCGACAAAGTAACCCTACCTCATCTTTTTTCAGTAGTGGATTTCAATAATAACAACGAATCACGCGATTGTTGTTAAATTCTCTTCCTCGCCATTTTTAGTGTCAAAAGTTTTGGTAGCCACAATTTGTGATCTTTAGCTACAAGTTCAAGGGATGTCTTCT